AATTTTATTCATTGAAGAGTGATATTCATTTTTTATTTAATAACTAAAGAATGCTTATTCTGACCAGCTGCGATTTTAACTATTGGTTGGTTTTATTAAAACAGTTTGTGTCACTTCGAGCTGTGTAAATTGCAATTTGCCAGCTTTATTAGGCAAATTATTCTCCCATGCATTCTTCAGAATACACAAATAACCCGCACATAAAAGACAGAAGCTTACGACGACGTTCGGTCGTAAGCTTCTGTCTTTTATGTGCGGGTTATTTGTGTATCGTTCCAGTCACGGTATTGTGCCTTTTTGTTATTTATTCTTCAGAATGCTTCTTCCGATCAGCTTCATACCCTAAATACAGGAGTATCTTAATAGGTTTTTTTTTTTTTTTTAATTTTGAGCTATGTGGGTGCCAATTTGCCAATTTTTTGAAAAGGGGTTCTATTAAAAATAAACATAAACATTTTCTTTTAAGATTGTGGATAATTTTACATAGAATATGAATGAGGAAAACTGAAAGCAATAACAATCCACTGTTTTATGCTGTTTTTATATTTAACAAGGAAGGACTCCTATTTTTCTCAACATTCTCGGGGACAATTTTTCGGTCTCACAAATTTTCGTTTATTTTTCGATCGGCTGCAAACTTGCAATACGTGTGTAATGTATTTTGAGCAAGATTTATATAACTATTTGCGTGTGTGGATACCCAATGAACAGTCCTACATAAATAACTCCCAAATTTAGTTTCCGAGTCATAGATGGAGAGAAGCTCCTTTGACTGTGCTGTGTATCCTAAGAAGAAGGACGTGTAGATGCTATTTTGCTACTTTTAATCTTGAAATGAAATAGGTATTATTTAACCTTGTTGCATTATTTTGACTTAATGCTGGTGAGGGGCTCTTGATCCGAGGAAATGGACAGGTTTATCGCTTTCCTGTGACTAAAATATAAAAATTGTGAGCGTAATCAGTGTTCAATGGCTGATGCATCGCATGAAATGGATGGAATATTTCATGGGTTTAGGTTGTGTAGGCAAAAATTTTTAGATAAGCGGGACAAGGTAGCGGAAGTAGTAGTAGAAGAAACAGTGGTAATATAAAGTAGGGAGAGTAGTTTAATGGCACAAGAGAAAAAGAGGAGTGAAGGGAGGGGATGGTAAAGGTAGTAGCAATTGTAGAGGAATGAAAGGGAGGAGGTAGTAGAAGTAGAAGTGGGATCAGTCTAAGGACAAGAAAAAGGAGCACTGCAGGAGAGCAAAGGACCCTCAAGGGGTAGGACCAAAAAACGCAGAGGGGGTGAAAACTGACTTACGGAACACACTAAGCAGGAGAAAGAAAAACAGAAAATGAAAAAATAGAAAAGGAGAAGAGTAGGGAAAGGAGAAGAGCTGTGAAGTTTGGAGCATTTGACAGTGTAATGAGAAAGGAAGGCATCCACAGAGACAAAGTCAGGACTAAGAAAAGTTGTGTATAAGGAAAGTTACATTAAGATGGCGACTGTGAAAACTAAAGGTAGGGTAGACAGTTTTAGCGGAGGAACAGTCAATAGGATGACTGTGATCTCTATCATGACAGGAACGAGCATTACTGGTGTAGGCAAGAAGTAACACTTCTTTTGTGTTCTTTGAGCCTGTCAGAAAGAGTTCTGGCAGTCTCTCCAAAGTATTGGAGAGGACAAGAGGATCATGAAATGGAGTAGACACCAGGGGCATCTATAGCGGAAGGAGAGATACGATCTAGATTATTGCGAAAAAGAAGATAAATGTTTAAGGAACAGAGAGAGTTGTTGAGATTAGAAAGACTGGAAATATAGATAAGGCAGATAACAGGGGATTTCACAGGAGAAGAAAGTTTGGGAGAGAAACAAATCATTTTTAGCACGTGAGAAGTCAGAGTTTATGAACTCGAAAGTGTAGCCAAGACGAGACAACGAATTACGAAGAGTGGAAATTTCCGATTCAAGGAACTGAGAGTCGCAAATGCAGAGAGCATGGAAAAAGAGAGAAATAAGAATACTTTTCTTGACAGAGGAAACATAGTAAGAAAATTAATGAATGTATATGTCACTCTTCATAGGCTTGCGATAAACGGAAAAAGAAAAGCCTGAGCAAAGATGTCGTCTATATAGCAGAGCCAGAGGAAAGGGCGCACACCAGTAGTAGGAAGAACAGTTTCGAAGCCAATCATAAGAATTCTTCACTTAGTGAATAAATGAATATTATTATTTATTCAATAAAATTTGCAAATTATGTAATACGTCACCCAATAACAGCACGAACTATGCATTTAGGAAACTATACCAACTATGAAAATTTGAAGCCGATCAGAAGAGGCATTCTCTATTTGTGGCGCGGATTCCAACGATTTCATTTTTCTTTATTTTTTTAGCTATTTTACCTATTACGAAATTTGCCGCTAACGCACAAAACAAATTTTAATAAGTAATCTCCTGTCCGTAAGATGCATCAGCCATTAATTATTAAAGCCATTCAGAAGAGGCAAACTATAATTTATTTAGCATTATTTAAAAGGAATAAATATTCACACTACTTTTACATATAGAGTAAGATGGTCAAACCTGCTCCTACGTACACCCTTGAATTTCTTTCTCATCCTTCCCTCATTTAGGAGACAAATCTTTTGAACAATTGAAGCTACGATGCTGAGGCGTTTGGAAGTTATTGGAACCATTTCAGATGCTGGGCATTGCTTCAAATTGGATCATTGGAAGCCTGTACATGCCCATTGTTCCAAGAGCTGTTCTCAAGTACAGGAGAGCTATAGATTTAATTAGATCCTAAGGAGGAATGCCCACCATATGTAGCATTTTGCCTTGAAGATGAGTGTGAAATAAATGGATGTCTTGGGTAATTGGTCCTAATTGATGGGTAGACAAGTACTGCAAAGATCTTGAAATTTCATTCGTTGACAATTGGAACAATGTCTATGATAAACATATTATGTATGTAAGGGAAGGGATGAGTTTGTCTGGGGCAGAACTGATAGCATCGAGGGGGCCGATGCTTAATTGAATATGACTTTAAATTGATAGAAGATAGTGGTATGGATGCCTGTGGAAAACGAAAGAGTTGCAGTATTAAAAATAGGTGGAAAACATTCAAAAGTCATAATGTAAGGAAATGTTCAAGGAAGAGAAACAGTGGAGGGAGGAGAGTGACTAAGCTAAAAATAAATGCACGTCCAGGAAGCATAGACATTAACCCTGGCTCAGTTTCGGAGATAATAGACAAATGCCTTTTGAATGCCACACACAAGGCTATAAATTATAACACAACGATAAGGTCCAAAAGAAAGGAGACAGAGGCAATATATGTTTGAATTATTTTTCAATGTTGCATCACAAAAGATATAAAAATCGTTGCAGAGGATACTGAATCTATTTGGCTGCAGTTTCTCAAGGGACGTGAAAAGCTAATCTTGGGTGTGATCTATAGATCTTAAACCTTAAATAGAGAGCATGATTCAAAAATAATGTTTTAACTCTATGTCTGAAGTTAAAACTGGGGATTATTGTGTGGACCATGATGGTGGCGATGGTTACCAGTGATGGTCTTCAGTGATGTACAAGGCACTCGAGCCACGTATATTCCAAACAGAGAAATTAGATGAAACAAGAATGATCGTAAGAGACTAAAATATCTCATAGGTCAAAAGAGACATATTTACAGGCGAATAAAAAATTAGGAGAGGTACACTTATGGGACTAATATACTTAATTAAAAGATAAATCAAAAGATGAATGAGAAAAGTCAAAAGAGATTATGAAATTAAAGTTGCAAGGGAATCGAAGCCTAACCGAAAAGTTTCTTGGAGTATATGTGAATAAAGTTAGAGAAAAGATAGGCTCATTTAAAAGTAACACGGATCAGCTTTCTGTCAGTGACAAAAAAAAATGCTTAAAATGTTTAACATTTATTTCCTCTTTGCTGTTATACAGGAAAACCACAAACAAAATTCTAGATATCAATAATAATGTTGGTCACGATGAAAGCAGGTTATGCAAGATCAAAGTCACTAGTGACTTGGTTCTCAGACAAGTGGATGGATTAAAAACCAAATAAATCTCTGGATTTTCGTAGTCGATGTCAACCTTATTCAGTTTTAACTTTGCTACAAATTACAAGGAAATTTCAAATTAAAAATTTAGAGGATGAATTGAATGAGAAGAATATTTGTCAGCTTTACAAATTAGGTTGCATCAGAATAAACATTTGTCTATGGTATAAAAGATGGATATTGAAGAGTAGAGACGATGGAGGCTGTTAATCATTTAAGTTACCTGTAAATGTTGATGAAAAGTTCCCATAATAAATGCTCCAGTTGTTTACTCACGTGTTTTTTATACAGTCTTGTGGGAATAATGTAAGCACATTATAATAAGAGTTGGTAGTATTCTACAAAAGTATCAGAGATTTGCTAGAGATTGATAATGGAAATTTGTGAATATGAAGACTCTTATCTATAATGGTAGTAATACCTGTGGATATGTATATTCTTAATTATAAAGGTAGTAATACCTGAACTGTCATGGTGATACCTGTACACTGAAACAGCCAAAGACGGAGTTGACATCGCGATTGTTGGTAATTGAGGTTTATTTGTCAGGAAAGAATAGTGGCATTTTTGACACCGGTCTTAATTAGATGATGATCCCTTAACTGATTAAGCATCTGTTGGCTTACATGAATTAAGTTTTACGTTTCATTCAAAAACCAAAGGATCACTGCACTGTAGCTTCTTCTAAGATAAGATGTTGACACGCTTACGGGTATCCAGCTATGGTTAATAGCGTGTCAACTATGAAGGTTGTAATTTATTGTAAGCTTTTTGGGGCGGAAAGTTCTTAGAATGAATAGCGCTGCCTAATAAACGCTGCCCTCCTGGCACAAATCTTAAATATTATGTACGATTATAGAATAATCTTTTATAGTTTGAGAAAAAATACATTCGTTTTAAAATCAATGCATATCTGGCATGCCCACTCACCGGTATATCCTGTCGCATAGCCTCTATAGTCCTCTGACTTCTTGAAGTAATGAAGGAGGCTCTCGTAGTCCCAGCCTGGGTTACCTAGGTCAGCCCAGTGGTCAAAGTCTCGCCGGTTCCCTCTGACGTAGAGCATCCCGTTGGTAGTAGAACCTCCGCCCACCACCCGAGCATGGGGAATGGTGGCCCGCTAACCAGAGAAAGAAAATGATTTGGGAATACCAAAGACACAAAAGCAGTAATTTGAAACTTTATTATGAAAACGTTTCCTTGTACTTCGGGCTTTACTTAACCCATCCTTAAAGCTAGTCAACCTATCCTTAAAGCTACTCAACCTATCCTTAAAGCTATTCAACCTATCCTTAAAGTTACTCAACCTATCCTTAAAGCTACTCAACCTATCCTTAAAGCTACTCAACCTATCCTTAAAGCTACTCAACCTATCCTTAAAGCTACTCAATCTATCCTTAAAGCAACTCAACTCAGCCTTAACTAAAAACTGTTCAGCCCATGCTCGAAGCTACTAAACTCTTCCCTAGAGCTACTTCAGTGATCCTACTTGGAATATCAAACATAGTTTTATTAACAGAAGTACTTATAATAAACAGTTTCATTGTAATTATATTACAGTAAAAAAATAATAAAAGATATCCTAAAAAATATTTTTCTTAGAGCTTATTTTAGTACACGATGGAATTTGCATTTTTTTTTTTTTGCAAAGCACACATAAATCCTGTGTACAAAATTGCATATACCGTGAAGTGTGTGTCTCCCAGCGTATATATGCTGAGAACTTACTTAACTGTTTCAGAAATTAAAGTATCCTTGACTGGTTGTGTGGACGTGACATGTAGTCTTAATCACGTCGTGTAACCAATAGGCTTTAAACCTAATAAAGTAACCAACCTATCTGAATATACTTTATTTGCATATAAAGAAAGACGATAAGGACAGATAAAAACAAAAAATACTGTGATTGAAATTTGACGATATTGCAAGCTTATAAAAGATAATTATATTTCTAAAAGTAAGAGATATTCAGAACATTATAAATTATCTTACTTAATAATTTTGGTAGAGTAGCGGAGAAAGTAAAATGTAAACTAATGGAAGTTTATGTTATACACTACCAGAGGATATAACGGAAGTTTATGTTACAACCAGTGGTTATGATGGAAGTTTATGTTACAACCAGTGGTTATGATGGAAGTTTATGTTACTACCAGTGGTTATGATGGAAGTTTATGTTACTACCAGAGGTTATGAGGGAAGTTTATGTTACTACCAGTGGTTATGATGGAAGTTTATGTTACTACCAGTGGTTATGATGGAAGTTTATGTTACAACCAGTGGTTATGATGGAAGTTTATGTTACTACCAGTGGTTATGATGGAAGTTTATGTTACAACCAGTGGTTATGATGGAAGTTTATGTTACTACCAGTGGTTATGATGGAAGTTTATGTTATACACTACCAGAGGATATAACGGAAGTTTATGTTACTACCAGTGGTTATGATGGAAGTTTATGTTACTACCAGTGGTTATGATGGAAGGTTATGTTACTACCAGTGGTTATGATGGAAGTTTATGTTACAACCAGTGGTTATGATGGAAGTTTATGTTACTACCAGTGGTTATGATGGAAGTTTATGTTACTACCAGAGGTTATGAGGGAAGTTTATGTTACTACCAGTGGTTATGATGGAAGTTTATGTTACTACCAGTGGTTGGGATGAAAGTTTATGTTACTACCAGAGGTTATGAGGGAAGTTTATGTTACTACCAGTGGTTATGATGGAAGTTTATGTTACACATTGCTAGTGGTTATAAGGGAAGTTTAGGTTACACACTACCAGAGGTTATGATGAATGTTTATGTTACACACTACCAGAGGTTATGAGTGGAGTTTATGTTTCTCACTGCCAGAGGTTATGATAAAAGTTTATGTTACTACCAGTGGATTTGATGGGAGTTTATGTTATGCACTACTAGAGGTTATGATGAAAGTTTATGTTATCGATACGAGAGGCTATGAGGGAAGTTTATGTTACACACTAACAGAAGTTATGAGAGAAGTTTATGTTACTCACTACAAGAGGTTATGAGGAAAGTTTATGTTACTACCAGTGGTTATAATATAAGTTTATGTTACACACTACCAGTGGTTATAATGGAAGTTTATGTTACACACTACCAGTGGATATAATATAAGTTTATGTTACACACTACCAGTGGTTATAATGGAAGCTTATGTTACAGACTACCAGTGGCTATAATGGAAGTTTATGTTACACACTGCCAGTGGTTGTAATGGAAGTTTATGTTATCCCCAGTGTTTACGATGGAAGTTTATGTTACTACCAGTGGTTATAACGGAAGTTTATGTTACACACTACCAGAGGTTATGAGGAAAGTTTATGTTACTGCCAGAGGTTATGAGGAAAAATTATGTTTCACACTGCCAGAGGTTATGATGGAAGTTTATGTTACACACTGCCAGAGGTTAAGATGGAAGTTTATGTTACACACTGCCAGAGGTTATGATGGAGGTTTATGTTACACACTGCCAGAGGTTAAGGTGGAAGTTTATGTTACACACTGCCAGAGGTTATGATGGAGGTTTAAGTTACACACTGCCAGAGGTTATGATGGAGGTTTATGTTACACACTGCCAGAGGTTATGATGGAGGTTTATGTTACACACTGCCAGAGGTTATGATGGAGGTTTATGTTACACACTGCCAGAGGTTATGATGGAGGTTTATGTTACACACTGCCAGAGGTTATGATGGAGGTTTATGTTACACACTGCCAGAGGTTATGATGGAGGTTTATGTTAAACACTGCCAGAGGTTATGATGGAGGTTTAAGTTACACACTGCCAGAGGTTATGATGGAGGTTTATGTTACACACTGCCAGAGGTTATGATGGAGGTTTATGTTACACACTGCCAGAGGTTATGATGGAGGTTTATGTTACACACTGCCAGAGGTTATGATGGAGGTTTATGTTACACACTGCCAGAGGTTATGATGGAGGTTTATGTTACACACTGCCAGAGGTTATGATGGAGGTTTATGTTAAACACTGCCAGAGGTTATGATGGAGGTTTATGTTACACACTGCCAGAGGTTATGATGGAGGTTTATGTTACACACTGCCAGAGGTTATGATGGAGGTTTATGTTACACACTGCCAGCTATTATGTTGGAAGTTTATGTTGCACACTGCCAGAGGTTATGATGGAAGTTTATGTTATACACTGCCAGGGATTATGATGGAAGTTTATGTTACACACTGCCAGAGGTTAAGATGGAAGTTTATGTTACACACTGCCAGAGGTTACGATGGAAGTTTATGTTACACACTGCCAGAGGTTATGATGGAAGTTTATGTTATACACTGCCAGGGATTATGATGGAAGTTTATGTTACACACTGCCAGCTGTTTTGTTGGAAGTTTATGTTACACACTGCCAGAGGTTATGATGGAAGTTTATGTTACACACTGCCAGAGGTTATGATGGAAGTTTATGTTACACACTGCCAGAGGTTATGATGGAAGTTTATGTTACACACTGCCAGAGGTTATGATGGAAGTTTATGTTACACACTGCCAAAGGTTATGATGGAAGTTTATGTTACACACTGCCAGAGGTTATTATGGAAGTTTATGTTACACACTGCCAGAGGTTAAGATGGAAGTTTATGTTACACACTGCCAGAGGTTATAATGGAAGTTTATGTTACACACTGCCAGAGGTTATGATGGAAGTTTATGTTACACACTGCCAGAGGTTAAGATGGAAGTTTATGTTACACACTGCCAGAGGTTAAGATGGAAGTTTATGTTACACACTGCCAGAGGTTAAGATGGAAGTTTATGTTACACACTGCCAGAGGTTATAATGGAAGTTTATGTTACACACTGCCAGAGGTTATAATGGAAGTTTATGTTACACACTGCCAGAGGTTATGATGGAAGTTTATGTTACACACTACCAGAGGTTAAGATGGAAGTTTATGTTACACACTGCCAGAGGTTATAATGGAAGTTTATGTTACACACTGCCAGAGGTTATGATGGAAGTTTATGTTACACACTGCCAGAGGTTATGATGGAAGTTTATGTTACACACTGCCAGAGGTTATAATGGAAGTTTGTTACACACTGCCAGAGGTTATGATGGAAGTTTATGTTACACACTGCCAGAGGTTATGATGGAAGTTTATGTTACACACTGCCAGAGGTTATGATGTATCTTGTAGATATTCACAACTAATTTTAATTCCTACTTGAGATTAAAATAACTATAACCGTTGTTCAGGGATCTGAAACTCATTTTTATTAATTAATTAGTTTTTTAATTTATTAAATGTACTAAACATTTCACTGAAAGTGATACGAGATAAGATAAGATAAGATTTCGTTCGGATTTTTAACCCCGGAGGGTTAGCCACCCAGGATAACCCAAGAAAGTCAGTGCGTCATCGAGGACTGTCTAACTTATTTCCATTGGGGTCCTTAATCTTGTCCCCCAGGATGCGACCCACACCAGTCGACTAACACCCAGGTACCTATTTGCTGCTAGGTGAACAGGACAACAGGTGTAAGGAAACGTGTCAAATGTTTCCACCCGCCGGGAATCGAACCCGGGCCCTCCGTGTGTGAAGCGGGAGCTTTAGCCACCAGGCCACCGGGCCACCACGAGGTTAGTAAGGTTTGTCAGGAAACAGGACAAGTGTTTCCTGACGCTGGTCTTAGTCATATGATGACCCGCAGCTGGAGCCTTTGGTTAGGTTTTGATCATCTGACCGAGTCCTTCAGGTGGCTTTCCAGTCCACCCCTTTAAAAATTATGGTTAGGGTGGCTAATGCACTAAAATTGTTACTAAAATTTTCAGATTTATTGTCACTGCTTTTGCTGTCTCCATATTTAGCCACCTGTGTATGAAATTACAAAATAGGAGAGTATCCAACTCAGACTGGATACAGAAGACAGAGGCAGCCATCTCTAAGGAATTCTCTATAACTGTATGTTGTTCTTAAATATGATTTAACTATTGTTTATAAGGTAATCCAGCTATCAGTTTATACTGACGGTGAAAACTTGAGAACACCAAAGCTGGAGTTTCTCTCAAGATTTTATTATACTTCCGCTACTTTTCTTCGACTTAATACTGTTGTT